GAAAGAAAGAAAGAAAGAAAGAAAGAAAGAAAGAAAGAAAGAAAGAAAGAAAGAAAGAAAGAAAGAAAGAAAGAAAGAAAGAAAGAAAGAGTCTGTTTTTATGTTTAAAATCAAGTCAGTACAAAAAGTTCATTCAACCTTTTGAACAAAAATTACGTTATCAGATGTGAAAACAGACCATCAGTGCATCAAGCTACTCGACAAGAATTCTTCTGAATGTCAAAGAGAAAAAAACAGCTTCAAGTTGATTTAAAACACACCAGAAACCTGGATTGTAACAAAAGCAAAGTGGCTGCAATTTTTAAAAAAAGGTCGTAACACAGTCCAGACTTGAAACAGTAATATGACATGAATCAAAGATTTGTGTGAAAACAAAGATGCTGTGAATGGGACAGATGTGGCTGTGCACCAAAAAAACTCCAACACTCCCAACTGGGTGTTTGATACGTGACAGAAAACATGAAGCTTTCAAAAGATTCAATGAAAAGAAAAAACTGAAAACAGTTTTAAACATGTTTGCTTTCTGTCTGCTTTTCATGAGCCTTTATGTATGAAGTAACTAGTTTTTCCATGTGCATGTGTCGGTTTTCTTTTCTACATAAAGCAGAGGGAAAAGGTCGAAAATCAAGATTCAAAACATTTAGGCTATTGAGTAATCAGTGTTTTCCAATTCATTCTGAAAATAACACATCTAATCTAAGAGGTTTTGGAGTGGCCTGGATTAGATTAGGCTGAAATTTTAATAGGACAGCGCACAATAACATTACTTTCAGAAGAGAGAAAATAAACTGTGCCAAAATATCCACTGGATATTTTCCATCTGAAGGCCAAACATAAAAACAATAAAATTCAAAAACAGATAAAAGTATAAAAAACAATTAAAATCACTACCATCTACTTTATTTTTGAAATATTATTTAAAATATGATTCAATTATAGATAATTTGAGTTTAAAGTGAAAATATAGAGGTAAATTCAAAGTTAGACAAAAATGGCCATTTAGACCTCAGAGGGTTAAAAAGTTATTAATTTTATTTGTTGGATTAAAATGTTCAACAAGCAGCAGTTTATTAAACAGTGTCTGGCAGCTGCTTGAAGCCAGCAACTATTGATAATTAGATCTTTCCACTTTCCACAATAGAACAGGAAGTTGCATGGCCGGATTAACACTTTGCAGTACCCTGGGCAACAATATTCAAGGGCCCCATCATAACCACCCCAGGATTACCATAGTCTGGTAAATACAGAGTAAATTATTAGTTGGTTAACACACTCAAGCTTTGTTGAATTCAATTTAATACTGGGGAGTCATGTTTAAATCAAGCATAATATTGTAAAAATATGTATGAAAAAGTAAGTCAAACAGACAAATTAAGACGCTGGCTAATCTTATCTTTAAACAACTAGCCCATCATAATCAACTTTGGAAATTGTAATGCAAGATGTGTAATTAAAAATAGGTATACTGAAAGGTAGAGACGGACTTAAAAATAAGAAATAAAAAAATTATCGCTGTTTTGTCGTTTTATGTTGAAAGGATAAACCGAAAGTATTTGTTTCTTATATTGACGTTAGCTTGACTAATTTTATGTTGTAGTTTCAAACACTGACCACACGAGGGCAGCAAGAATCTCCAAACATAAATACTTTTATCATTTTCTAAAGTTGTGGAGAAGATCATTTTAAACAGACTTGTAATTTGTACTTATGTTTAGGTTTTATACATAAAAACAATTAAACATGTAAAACAAAATGTTTTTTTTCTTTTACAAACTACTGAATTATATCTACACCCTGGCATTTCATGAAACTGTAGCATTAATGCTAACGCTAGTAATTGTGATTGTATTATTATTGTTTGTTTTGTTTTTTTACTGTAAGCAAATATCAGCCAAATTAAACCCACGAAACATTATGTGATTATTTTAGTTAGGAATTTTTTTTCTTATTAATATTTTTTTAATTTGTCTGAAATAAAACAGTCACGTTTTAATTTTGACAAATAGGTGCACTTACTATATGTGGCCACAAGAGGGCAGTAAATGTACTCAATCTCCATTGTTCAGCTTTGAGGTGCTGTACGAAATTCAGTTCCCCTGTGAAAATCTGGGGAACTGAATTTCGTACAACACCGGGATTACGTAAAAATATCAATGCTAGCAACTTTGCTAACTTGTTTAAACACCACAAACGTGGTAAAAAAATAAAAAATAAAATTGCAGTTATCCTAAAACGGAACTAGCTTACGTTATTGTGACACTAATAAAGCTGTTTCAGATGATAGAAAGACACAATTTTTTTATTTTATTTGCTTTGATAGTTAGAAAATTATGTTTGCATTAAAAAAATCACTGCAAATAAATTCATTTGTAAAATAGATTTTAATACCTGACTCCATTGTTCCTTAGTTTTCATATTTGTTCATATATGAACTTACCAACTTTTACTAATCGTTTTTCTCCCAAGGTTTACAAAGTTTCGAACAGATTTAAAATAAATAAAATGCCCCCATGTAAATTAATAGGTTCTCTGCCCTCTAGCGGTCATACGAGAAATTGCAAGAAGTACTTAATCAAGTTGGATGGATTAGAATAAACTTCACAATGTTTCCGGTAAAGACTTTCAAAATAAAACATTTACCCCGTCGTAACAAAGGCAATTTATTTTACGCCTAAAACTGATACTTTAGCGGTGGTATTTGTCTCTACATTTGTAGACTAATCCTTTTTAAAGTAACCATCCACTAATGCAGAACTCATATAGCTTTATGTTAAAATTAAAAAACTCTGGACGAATTTAAAAATGCTGCTAACAATCTGAGGCCATTCATTCATTGTCCAAGTGCAGCTGTGGTGCTCTGGAGTTGTGGCTGCGTTACTTATGTGAAATCCGAAAACGTTTGAGTCATGTGACTGACCTACATAAGATTGTCTGTGCAGGAAAACAAAGCTTGTAGACTTGAACCAGCGTAGAATCTGTAAGACGAAATTTAGGTGAATATATAAGAAAAGAGAAATACCGAGTGAGAGAAATCAAGGATAAATATCGAGGATCAAGCAAGCTGGTGGAGCACCCTAAAGGCTGAGCTCAGCATTCAAACACAGCTTTTGCAAACCTGCTGGTAAGTTTAACAGTTGAACTATTTCAGTCACTAGCTGTTTCTGTTGGCATCTGCTTACAAATTTTGTTTAAAATTTATAATTTAGGGACACATTAACCATCAAATTAACAAAATATTTATACTGTGTGGTTGCAAATGTGTATTTTTGATTACTTTTTACAAGTATATTAAAATTACTCCAATTGATATTTTGCTGACAGACATACAAGCACGCACAGACATAAACAGACAGTTTTTGAAGCCTTGCTGCAGTTTTGATAACTCTACACAAACTGTTTTATTAGATCTTGTTGACTCACCGGTTGCATCTTCATAAACCACAGTGACGGCTTTCCACTTGTAGAACTGCACTATGTCCAACACAGCTCTGCTTATCAAGGCATATTCCGGATGGAGGTTAATGTAGAAGCTATCTTTGTTGTCCACTGAGGGGTGTTTCCAGCGTGTCTGGATGTGAGGGACTTCCAGGGCGTTACAAATGGACTGCACTGCACTGACAGAGGAGCTGTGAGAGGGCCCAAACACAGCCCCCACGCCCAGGGCCAACTGGTCACATGCTGGAGGGAGGAAACAGATCGTTTAAGTTTAGTTCTTACCTTTTTTTTAATTAACCCTCTGAAATTAATATTGACATTAAATCATTTTTACCTCTTCTGGAGGCTTCAAAACTGTCAAATAGATTTATTCTCTGGATGTCATAGGTCAGCGTGGTGTTTGGCATTAAGGTCCGGTTCCTGTTTATGTTGGTCACAGCAAATTTAAAGGCCAGTTCTTCAACACTAATAGGCTCATTTTCAAGAGTTTCAAAAATGCCACCTGTAAGAAAAAAACAAGAAGCATTAGGGGGGATTACATACTAAACAAAACACATGATTTAGTTTTAAGAGCATCTCAGACGAGTTAGAGCAACTGAGAATCAGTGCTTTACATACTATGTAAAGCTTTAAAAGGAACCTGCTCCAAATAACAGACTTTAGTCTCATTCAGCACAATAATTCACCTTCTTTGACTTGAGTTACATCACCTGATTTTCACAGGCGACACAAAAGCTTTCACCAAAGAGTAAAAAAGGTTGAATGAAGCAGATATGCTGCCTGGTAATTTCATTATCCTGCAGCTGCACGAGGAAAACATCTTGAAGGTAATTCATCCAGGAATAAATGACGGTGGGTCGTCCTGAACTCGACCTTCAGTAAAGTCATTCTGAAATAAAGTTCTAGTGCTGTTAGATGTGAAAGTTAAGTGAAAGACCTTCTGGTACGAAAACAGAAAACATACATAACTTCCTAAATACTTGTGTATTCACACAACGCCCCACTGTTTCTGATCGACACAGTTTTCTGTCTCACTATACTCCTTTACTTATTCCAAAATTAATGTACCATGCACACAGGCAAATGTCCTGTGGACATGTTTCAATGACTCATGCTCATAAATGGTGTTGTTGTTTTCAGTTGTTTTAAATCTAGTGTGACTGAAATGATCTCACAACCAATCAGGTTGCTTGATGCTCAGGTTTGAAGGAGTCATTATTGACTCATTATACTGTATTTTCTTTAGGAGATGTGCACACACAGCTCAGCATTAACTTTATAGCCTGTCTTGTTTACCAGACAAAAAATGGCATCAATAACATTTGTTCCGAGCCATTTGACTACAAAAATGGTTTCGTTTGTATCGTCTAAGTCACTTTAGGAAGGCAGTTGTTATAACACTAAATCTACAACTTTACTCTCAACTCCCTCAGTGCAAAAACATAAAGACTGGACACTGTCGCAGATTTTTCTTTAAACTTTTCACATTTTAAATTCCATTAAAGAATGAAAATCTTTAAATATTAATTCAATATTTTAAAGCTGTGGTTGATGACATCATAAGTTGCATTAATCCAAAAGGACGTATTCAAATTATGCACCAACCACCTGGATGGTGAGCTTTATTTATTTATAAATTTAACACACGGTTGTATTTTATGTGGCCATTAAATTTATGCATGTTAGTTTATAACTCTGCTCCTCGCAGTGTAGCAAGCCTATAAACTGAAAATACAGACTGTTGAGCCAATAACAACTTACGCATTTATCTTTGGGTGGCTTTGTTCAACCATAATCATTTCTGATTAACAGGAAATAAAAGAAATGGAGTCTTGTTGCATTTGTAATGCTAACACTGTTTATTTATGCAACTATTTAATCAAAAATTTATCATTATCTAAAACAATTTGACACATTTGGGCATATACACTCATCCATTAATCTTCTTGTGCTCCCTTTTTATTTTCCTTTTTTGTTTTCCTTTTTGATCTCCTGCAGTCATTGTGCAAGAGGCAGGGTACACCCTAAGTCCATAACAAGGCCTCAAAGTGACAACCATTCATATTCTCAAACACACTAAGGGACAATTAAAAGTTACCAATTAACCTAACAAACCAGAGTACCCTGTGATAATCCACACATGCATGTGAATACGTGTGTTATACAGTGGGTAAAATAAGTATTGAACACGTCACCATTTTTCTCAGTAAATATTTTACTAGAGGTGCTAATGACA